GCACAGGGCCTGCTGCACAGCTGAGACGTCCTTTGAGGGGGGAGCAGAACAGGCCGACTGACAAAATACACTGCTGAGGGGAGCAGCGGGCGGGTCAGGAGAGGTCTGCCGTGCCATGTGGGTCACCCCAAGGACCGGCGGGGATTGAACTTGCACTGAAGTGACAGTGGCTCATTTGCAGTGCTGCGCTCTAGCCTGCTGCGACAGAGGGCCTAGCAGGAAACTGAAATGTTTGGCTGGTCAGGGCAATCTTGACTTTTTTGATGGTTAAAATTCTTGGCTGCATTCCATTCTTAAGGTACCCACGCTCCGTTGCCATTTAACTGAATTCCCTCAGGTACCTCTCTTGGTCAGGTTTGTATTCACACTCGTGCCTTCCTCTTAGTTTTGAGGTAAAAGAAAATAGTGAGGGGGAAGGATGATGTGTCCCAAGTCCTGTTTGAAGAGGTGGACTAAATCATGGATTTGAGAACACTGTCCAGTTTGGCCCCAAGACTGACTGTAAGATGCCACGCCAGACAAAGAGCACTGGATTCTGACTAGTGATTATCTCACCGTTTCCTGGAGGGAGAAGGCCGAGAGCCCACACGCAGAGCTGGAGTGTAACCCACTGGTGTAAGCCCAGCCCAGAGCACACTACGAAGCTCTCCTCTGCCCCACTTCACGGACCTACCCATTAAGTATCTCCACCTGGCTCCCTTCAGGAAGCCCGGCTCTATTCTCCTGTCCAGCATTGGTTCTCACATGCATGAGTCTCTAATAAAGCCTTGTTTGGTTCGAGTACTCTCTGGGGAATTCTTTCCCTAAAGTACAAAAGACCCACTCTTTGGGTCTGAGCTGAGGCCTCCCGGCTGTCTTGCTTCCTCCCAGGACTTCCTCTTCCGGTCCCATTTTCTCCTCAGGAAAACCCAGTGGCTCTATTAACGTTCACCGCATTTTACTGCTGCTTCATCTTTCACAGGAGAAAAGCTTTTACATAGTTCCCTGAAGGCCAGGAAAATAAGAATTGTTCCCTACAGTCTCAGGGGCACAAACACAAGATGGAGGGTCCGTTAGAAATCTGTATTAATTCAACAAAGTAGGGTGCAGGGAGGATGGAATGAAGTGGAAAGGAATGGAATGGGACAGAGCAGAATGGGGTGGAGTGGAGTGAAGCGAAGGCAGGGCCCTGCCTTAGTTGTGTTACGAGACAGCGAGGAAACGTGCAGGTAAGTACAGTGAGGGTCAACTGTAGACTCAGAGCCTTCTGCAGAAATGTCCTCTCAAAGCATCCTTACAAGGTAGAACTAGGCAGGAATTGTCCCTGCAAAAACAGGGATTATTCCTACCCCGAAGGTTAAATGGGTTGTCCAGCCCCACGGTCAAAGGGGAGGGCTCCACTCAAACATTTGTTTATTGCAGAGGTGGTACCTTGAAAAAGATGCTCTTCCATTTTTTTCTTTCAAGATAAAAATCAGTCAAGGTGAGACTCTTGGAAACATATTTGAAGCATCATGTAAATATGGCGATGCTGTATCAAACAGGCCATGATAAAACAGTTACCATGCTTGCCCAGTTCTGCTCATTCAAGGAGGACACTGGCTTTGGCTTACCTTGGCTCTAGACTGGCCTGAGTTAACAATTAAAGTTGTCACCTGGCCTTTTGTTTCAGTTTTTAAGATTTGACCCCTTTCAATTAAGAGTTAAATGGAGGAGGTTTGAGGACATCGGGCTGACACAGAAGGAATCTTGGGAGCTAAACAAGGGTCACAGGGGCAGTCTGTTCTCTACAAGTCATAAAACGCGTGCCTGAAATAGCTAACAAGTCCTCATTATCTAATTATGTCTAATTACACATTCTGGGCCTATTGGAAGTGAGAGGCTGGGTGTAAACTCCAGACACTCCAGTAACAAACCACTGTAGAAATGTGGTTAGAAACACACTCAAGCTCTCAATTCTGTGGCCTTGAGCCACTGAGGATAATTTGCAGGTGTCTTTCCCACTGTCCCAGAAACTCTGCTTGTCAGGCTGGCTGGGAAACTCAGAGGGAGCTTGCTTTCAGAGATGAGGCAGCAATTCCTCCCTCAACAACTTGCTGAGCAGAATCTTATCTCTTCACACGTCACATGCACAGGGCCTGCTGCACAGCTGAGACGTCCTTTGGAGGCAGGAAACCTTCCCCCTCCCCCCTTAAGTTGTCAATGTGCCTGCCCAGTACAAGCTCTGGTGCAGCTCATGCTCAAGGTCTGCCTGGAGGCTGGGCTTTGGGGGGCCAAGAGGTTAGTACCAGCAAGCAGGAGCTCTGTGAGGCGCTATCATCCCTAGGGGATTAACTGGAGGGTGTAAGGCAGAGGATTTGTTGCAGGGCACCCAATGTGAACTGGGTTGCCTGTCTGTGGGTCCTCACCCATGCGCTTAAAATTCAATTGTACTGCAGGTAACATGAAAAGGGTCAGTAACGGGTTTATTTACAAAGGGGAAGAGAAAAAGGAACAACCCAGGAAAAGAGAGAGAAAGAGAGAGAAAGAGATACAAGTTAACTTGAACATTCTACCAGCTTCACTGACTTGGAACTTCACTACACTGATAGCTCATCAAGAGCCAAATGACCAGCCACCAGCCACTCACTCCAGACAGCCACGAGGACCAGAGAGAGTGCGTGTCTCACATGGCTCCCTTATATCTCCCCGGAAGTCCCAGAATGCCTGCTTAGCTCTGCCCTTGGGTCCTCACAGTTCTCTCTGTGGTGTTGCTGGGAGCTGTAGTTTCAATAACTGGAGTAGGGATTGGAGTCCAGAAAACCTGCAGCATTCCTTTGGGACCTCCTTTCCCCCTAACAGACTGATAAGGGGGCCCAGGGTCTGGAGCCCAAAGGAGTTTTATCCTGGTACCCCGGCATCTGTCAGTGTCACCCACTGTGACTGTCAGCAGCTCTGCCCTTTTTGAGCCCCTCTGATGAACTTCAGGGGAGTCACAGGGCCTCCTCCCTCCTGGAGGAGCCACAGGCCAGCCTGATCTGAGAAGCAGCTGACAGTAAAGCCCAAGGGAGCCTCTGGGAATGGCCATTGAGAAGAGACCGCCCAGAGCTGGAAATCAACAACTACCAGGCCCATGGTTTACATATCTACATCTGAAGAGCTGCATTATTATCAGAAGGGCCCGGCAGCCGAAGAAGGAACAGGCTTCTAAGCCACCACCGCCAACATCAAACACACCAGGCTGAGAATAACTACAGGGACTGTTGTATGTAAAAGTGGGCAGAGAGGCTAATCCTAACATTTTGGTCCCATAAAACCCACATCTCTCCATCACTAAGTTATTCCCATAGTCATGTGCAGGTTCAAAGTGGATAAAATTGGGCAGTAAAATATTCTTGTTGAAAATACCCACCTCGGGTTGTTTAATTTATTTGCTTCAATACAAAATCTGATTTTCTTTCTTTTCTTTTTTTTCCTAGAGAACTGTCAGGTCAAATGGCTTCTCATTAAAAAACAATTTCACATTTTCACAAGATTTAAGATTAGCATTCTAGGAAGAAATGAAGCTTCTGTCGAAATATTTCAAATTTTGATCCCTCTCTAGCAAAAATAAATGGATTAAAAATGTCTTTTCAAGAGCAATTAGCCTACCTTGGAAATGAAGGCAGATTTGAAAGTAATCACTCATTAGATGGAATCTAAGTACTAAAAAGAAATGAAAGAACCATTAAGTGGGAAAATATCTTACCTTGAGAAGTTGAGGAAATGAACGTGTCGAGTGAATAAATAGGGCTGTTCGGCAGTACTTATATTTTTAATCAGTTCCATCTATTAAAAAAAAAGCACAAAATTAGCATCACTAGAACTTAATGTACCAAGTCATATTAAGCTAAAGGTTATCTTCCCAGCTCCTTTATTCCTCACTTCTGGCCTTCTGGACCAGGGCCAAATGGCTGTGTTTTCTGCCACAGCTTCCTACTGAGTGAGACAATGCATCCCCTGTGCAGCCCTGTATATAACTGAGTTGGCGTGACCATGAACACAGGGACAGACGAAGTCATGGTCACTGAGCCGGCTGTGCGGAGATGCAGGTGAGACAATGCCTTTTGTCCCTCCATCAAAGTCCCAGGAAGGTAGAAGCTCATCCTCATTTTCTATTTGTTTAATGATACTACGGGGATACAAAGACATGTTTGAAACTAGTTCACAGAATTTTAAGCTAGTTCATAGAGTCTCACAGAAAGTATTTCATGGAAATTAAACATCGTCCCCCATAATTTTTCTCTTTTTTAAAAATGGACAAAGCAACTATTTCTAAGCAAATATGCTCCCCCTCCTCCAAAAAACTGTCTGGCTTCTTGGTGGGTGGCCATTTGAATGATTTATTTGCAGTTATCAGCGAGGCAAAAAACATCTCTATTTGTATAAATGAGCATTTATGGTTCTTCTGGAACATGTCACGTTACAGAGACTGCTTAGTAAATGTTAAAAATTCCAAACATTCTTATAATTCCCTGACTTCCTGAATACCACTTCCTTAGATTTTCTAATTGGCCCCCTCCAAACAGACATGGCGGAAGTTTTCAGAAGTGCATTGAAAACGGTCACTTTGAATGGACGTCTCCTAGTTTCAGAAACAGCTCAAGTTGAAAACTGCAAACCGAAATGGTCACTGCCCTGTTCACCTGGGTCACAACAACGACAATAACATCAGAGTCAGTTTGTCTCGAACCCACAGGAAACCTGTTCTGCTCTGCTCCTGTGTGCTCAGCCTAGGCTGATCTCACAGAAATGCTCGTTTAGTACTGATGGGAGGCATTAACTCCAACTTCCATCTGCTCACTAGGCTGGTATCCTGGGATCTAGCATTTAAACTCTTTAATCAGCTATGTGTGCCCATCGTGATGTCTGAAGGACTGAAACGAAACTTTAAAAGGAAATGACTCGCAGTCACGGCCCCATGCTTCGCAGGTTGTGGTGTACTGGGCAGACAATGCTTAGCTGTCTGCAAGCTTAAGCATGAAAAGAAACAATCCAGCTTCTTCATTGACCGCTTAGCCTCCATCTTCCCGGCCTCCACGCTTATTTTTCTTGTAATACAAATCACTGCTAGGTCACATTATTTTTGCTGGCTCTACTAACAGAATTGCAATTTTGAAGCACAGAGCTGTCCTACTCTCGAAGGATGTCTGTTTAGAAAATAACTCCACGGTGTGTCTGATTAATCAAAAACCATTTAGTGGTTCGATGTCTGCTTGACTTTTATTCAGATTTCTCTGCACATATGAGAGTAATATGAGAAAGTTCCTACTACAAGTAGACTGGAAAAGCAGGTCAGAAGGAAAGTGTTTCTTTCATATATTCAACATGATAGCACATTCGCTAAACACATGCCAGTGTGTTAAATTTAATGGAAAAACAGTAGCGGTTAGATTTTGAGAACAGTGTCATAATAATCATAAAGCTGTCTATTTCACAAGGAAAAATGGATTAACAGTGACAAGGCCTAACTCTTTCTAGATGGATCGTTAAACATAGCATAAAAATACTAAGGTTCGGGCCCTCCCTGGTGGCGCAGCGGGTTAAAGCACAGCACTGAGAATCTGAAGCCACTTCCGCATGAGTTCGATTCCCGCCTGCCGCCTGCCCCGGAGGAGACCACATGGCGAGCCAGACCTCTCCTGACCCGCCCGCTGCTCCCCTCAGCAGTGTACTTCGTCGATCTGCCTGTTCTGCTCCCCACTCTGTCTCTGGTGAAGCCTCTCACCGTCCCTGAGCCTCTGGCCTGTACCCCAGTTCTGTATGAATAAATAAATAAATCTTTAAAAAAAAAAAAAAATACTAAGGTTCATGTTTATTGCATTACTAACGTGACGTCAGTACATTCAGCTCTCCTACACTCTGTCACTCTGTTCCACATGGCACAGCCACTTAAGAAGAGCCACAAGCATGGGGGGAAGAAATTATGTTCACAGTGTCGCTGACCATCATCACAAACATGAGGTGTCCCCCACTTCTAGGGACAAGCAGCAGTCTGCAGAAGCGCTGTGGGCTGCCACTGCTTTCCCTCTCCTGGTGCTCTCAGACCACCAGCAGCCTGTGTTTCATCGTCATGGGTGACACTGACATCACCTAAATTAATCGGACAGCACCTCTCCTTTCCCTGGCCCCTGCAGGCTCACTGCTAGCCTCGATTCTGATTCACTGCACACATCCACTCGCATTGGCTCATTCGTTCAGCATGTTCTGAGCACTTACTAGGCACTCGAGTTCAAACATGAGTAAACTCGGTGGGAAAATATGTCTTAATGGTGTTTCCAAACCCACCATTGCCAAACCTACTCTTGATTATCATTACCCCTTATCTAGTCTGGCCATACCTATGCTCAGGTTCAAGCTCCTTCTGGAAAGTTCTCTTCTCTTGGCATAGTAAAATCCTAACCCCACTTTTCATCTAACTAAAGTGCCCAACAATGATCAAGGTTCCAAGTAGCCATCCCGGATCTCTCCTTTCACTCAACATGCATTGATCTCCACCTCAGTTTTGGGCAAAGCACTGCTTGGGACTGTGCCTAGGGAGAGAAATTTCTGCTTTTTGCTCGCAAAAGCTCAGTTTTATGGGTGCATAGAACAAAAAGCAGATGCCCACCTGGGGAAGAAAGCACAAAGGTGAGGCTTCTGTCCCTGCCTGCAGATGGAACAGTGATGTTTTCCCACAGAAGAAATCCCAAGAGTTTACAAGGACCCGTAGGAGTTAGCCAGTAAGTAAGTGACCATGGCCTTGCAGACAATACGAATACAGATACAAAGGACAAAACAAAACAACGTGGATATTAAAACTGCCAAGAGCTCCATGGGTAAGGGCGAAACATGGCAACAGCAAGACTGTAGATGAAGCTAGAGAGGAAGGAGGAACAGGGAGTGAGTATATATGCATGTATTTTTTCTTTTTTTCAGATCTAAGGGCAGGATGGAAAATGAAAACGAAAGATGAAGCTAAGTTGACCTGAATATCAGCAGGAAATAATGAGGGTATGAAGTGTTTCTGGGAGAACAGGCAGCAACTAGAAACTTGTTAGAAATGCGCATTCTCAGGCCTGCCTCTAGATCTGCTGAAGTGGAAGAAACTGTGGGGGGGGGGATTTGGGGGTGGGGAGCATCAATGGGCCTGTGGTTGCTTTAATTTTCCCCTTCTAGCAAGCTTATCTATTTGTGGGATCACGAATGTTCATACATTTCATCTCTACATATCATATAGTACACATATCATATAGTATGCCTGTACACATGCATGCTTCATTTGTGCATAGAGACACATAGAGGAATCTGTGTTTTAACAAACCCTCCAGGAGATTCTAAGGCTGGAGAGTGACTGACTCACTGAACAAAGTCAACGGCAGTAGACCAGGAGAGAGTTGGGCATGGTAAGGAAGGAGAGTCTGTGTGGCCCGGAGGCCAGCTGGCAGCAGACGGGAAGGAGACGGAGTGGTGAAGGCAGCGACCTCCTGAGTTCTGGTTCTGGTTTGCATCTCAGCCCACGATGGTGGCCTTTCCCAGAGACGTGGAGGGGGAGGGCTACAGAAGTGGGGCACAAGGGAATGTATTTTCACATCTTTGGCACATGTATTTGCAAATACTGTTGCTTCTTTTACTTCCTATAGCACGTTGAGACTTTTCCAGGATGCCCATCTATAAAACTGCACTTGTGCGTTAGTTTTCAGTCAGACTGAGCTCCCTGAGAGCAGGAGCCACACTTGATTTAAGTCCAGAACATCAAGCCCAAGCACTTGTGTTGAACAGAAAACCCCTTTAGAAGACTTTTTGGAGTCAAGAAGTGGACCGTTCACTAAGTCAGAGTCACAGTCAGCAATGACTGTATCTCACGGGGACAGGCACAGTCACCATCCTGGGGCCCGGGAACTGACAGTCTTTCCATTACAACATCTAGGACCTAACGGCACCAAGCAAACTATCATTCCCAGTGTGCCTCGAACTCCGTGCTGTACCTAGAGTGCTTTAAGCACCTGCTGTCACATCAGCTCAGGCAACTCGGTCAGTTGTCTCCTTGATAGGGGAGAAATGGGGGCTTTGCAGCTTGCTTATTGTCTCACCACAAGGAGGAGCAGGAAGAGCCAGAGCCAAGATCCAACTCCAATCTGTCTGACACCCAGAATCCCATTTTTCTTCACCAAACTGCCACCCCCATCATGGCATCCGCTACCCTCCCACCCCCCACCACCTTACCCAACCTTGCCGCCTACCATCTGATCTGTATATTGCCTCTTCAATGGGAGGAAGGGTCTCCAAGGTGATTCTGGAGAACAAACAGGGCTTATAAGGATATACCTTTTCCACCTTTCATGTGATGTGTTCTAAAGAACTGGCAGAAAGTTAGAACCATTGGGAAAATGTTAAAAGAATGAAAAATGAAAGCATTAAAGAATGTGAGAGAATGCTGTTCAAATTGTCAGTGGAAACACCACATATTGTGACGAGAATGGGAATGTGTTAGAAGAAGGTGACTGTGTCCTGGAAGCTAGCTAAGGGAAGTGGTCGCATCACAGTGCATCTGAGCTAGAATAGAGGTTTCTTTTTCTTTTTTTAAAGAAGTATCAAACAGAAGTTAAAAAGAAAATACCAGACCTTTTTTTTTTTTTTTTTATCTTTGGCTTTTAATCTGTCTGGGATGACAGAGCAGAAAGCACAGCTAGTTAGTGGGGACCGGGCTCCTGACTTGTCCCTATCAGCGGTCCTGGCATTGACCCCACTCTGCTCTCAATCCCTGTGTTACTCATGACCGGGCTCTATAATTTTTTAAAACATCTTAA